TATATATATATATATATATATATATATATATATATATATATATATATATATATATATATATATATATTAAATATGCAACCCCATTTGAGCCGCTTTTTTGAAGGCTTTGCAAATAACTTATTTATCAAACAAATGGGGTAGGTGCTTTTTTTTTGTATTTCATCTTCATCCCCCCCTGTCCTTTCGTGGGGAGGGGGCAGTAAAATCCGCAACCGACTTTTTTGACTAACCTCTTTAAAAAGCAATACCCGCCCCTGTATATATATATATATATATATAAATATATATATATATATATATATATATATATATATATATATATATATATATATATATATATATATATATATATATATATATATATATATATATATATATATATATATATATATATATATATATATATATATATATATATATATATATATATAGTATTGGACAAGATATTTGCAACCAACATCGAACAATGGTAAAAAGTGTTCCTAATTTTACATGTCTTAAAAACAAAACGAACTATACTACCACAACAAACAGTTCAGGAGTCTGGAGTCATAGCTTGCCATGACATGAGCAATCAGCTGACAGGTGACAGCATATAAGGCAGAATTTCCTTTACAAGTGCCATTTCGCAGCGGACAAAATAAGTGCAACATTTTTGGTTAGTTTTATTTTCTTAAGTCTGGTCCGTGTCATCGTCACGGAAGGTTTTTGATAATTAAAGGAAGTATCCAGAAGTTTCCAGAAGCATGCAGAAGCTTCCAGAAGTTTCCAGAAGAAGCATCTGGAAGCATCCAGAAGTATCTAGAAACATTCAGAAGCATCCAGACGCATTCAGAAGCTTTCAGAAGCATCGAAAAGAAGCGTCTTGAGTCTTCCAGAACAGGTTCACTCAGGTTCATTTTATACATTTCAACAGTATCAAAAGCTTTAGCAAAGCCTAGCATTGCTACATTCACAGGTATGTGATTGTAGATGCATAAAGAAATAAAGTTTACAGTTTCCGACAAATTTGTAGTGCAAGATTTCCCTTTTACATTACCATGTTGTTCGATTGTCAATGAATTGTTGTTGTAAAGACATGTTTCAACTTTTTCTCTTATAATAAATTCTAATATTTTACAGGAAACAGATGTTAATGACACAGAGCGATAGTTGCTAAAAAAAGTTATGTCACCTTTTTTAAAGATAGGTGTTATGTTTGAAGACTTGAAATGAATTGGGAGTTGACTGGTCCTGAGTGATTCTCAAAATATAAGAGTTATTGGTAAAGGAAACTATATAGCACAATATTTAAACAAGATTTATTAACCTGAAGCAATTTATTTTCATTCAGTGATTTAGGTTTTGATAAAACTAATTCAAGGCTTACATCATCATGTTTAGTGTCTTTAAATTTAGTTACATTATTTAATTCAAGATTAAAAGGCGGGAGATTCTCTTTTTTTTCAATAGTAAAGACATTCTGAAAATATTTATTGAGATGATTTACAATTTCTTTTGGTTCAAGGGATAAAACACCATTAGGCATAACTATGTTACCAAGCACAAAACTCGCGTCAACACCATATACACTAGTAGATTCTGTGAATATTATACTTAAGCCTATTATATTTAAGGTAAAAGCATTGCCAAATAAAAAAGTTAGTATGTTTGTATGTGGATAAAGAAAAATGTCATTTAAAGTTGTAACGAATTTATATTCAACGCCACTATCATTAGAAATAGATATTATACCACCATTGGACCATTTAATGGCTGTGAAATTTAAACCACCCTTAATATAATTAATACATCTTTGTCACCCATAGTATACATAATCATTCATATTTAATACATCTTTGAAACCGTTAACATCGACACAACTTTTTACTAGCTTAAAAATTTTATTCATATTGACCATATCAACAGCATTATTTGGTCTGTAGAGAAAACCAATTAGATACTTGTTTAGGTCAAAGTGTTTACATCCCAAACTTGCTTGATTTTGCTAGTCTTAAAACCAGTATCAACAAGTTCATTCGAATCTATTAAATTTTTTATATATAAGCATATACCGCCCCCTTTGCTGTTACCAGTTTTATCACACCTTTATGTGTTGTACCCAGTAAGGTCAACAGCTGAGTTATTATTGAATCATGTTTCACTTACTCCAAATATTTTAGGACGATGCACATTCATCACAACCTATAATAACCTATAATCACCTGTTTCTTCCAACTTATTTTCTAGTGAGGTAGCTTTCAAATAAATACACTTAAGTTCTGAAATACTTATACAGTATTGGAAAAATATTTGCAACCAACATCGAACAATGCTAAAAAGTGTTCCTAATTTTACATGTCTTAAAAACGAAACGAACTATACTACCACAGCAAACAGTTCAGGAGTCTGGGGTCATAGCATGCCATGACATGAGCAATCAGTTGATAGGTGACAGCACACAGGCAGAATTTCGTTGGCAAGTGCCATTTTGCAGCGGAAAAAACAAGTGCAACTTTTTTGGTTTGTTTCATTTTCTTAAGTATGGTCCATGTCAACGTCACGGAAGTTTTTTAATAGTTAAAGGAAGTATCCAGAAGTTTCCAGAAGTTTCCAGAAGCATCGAAAAGAAGCATCTAAAATCATCCAGAACAGGTTCACACAGGTTCATTTTACTATATAAGAGACATGTAAACCGACATGTAATTCAGTCAGTATATGAAAGTCAATCAGTCAGTATTATCAAGACAGTTTATCAAAGTGAGTTTTATCAAAGTGTTTTATCAAAGAACATCAATACAAGAAGTAAAATACAACAAGTGTTTTATTAAATCAATACAGTCCACATCCAACCAAAACGTTGTGTTTCACAAAGCATTATTATATCATCACAAGGTAAATGTAACACGGTAAGCCTTGAGAAGCTTGATTATTTATTTTTATTATTTTTATGACTTCAAGCGCAAAAATGCCTCCCGACAGTCTTGGATTGAAACTCAGAAAGAAAATTATTGGCAATTACGTAAGTGGAATGTCACAAAAAAGTATTTATGAATATAAATATCGCGTTAAAAAATCGACCGTATTAAGTTATGTTCCAAATATCGTTCAATGGGGAAGTTGGTAGCATATAACAAAGGTGGAAGACCACATTCCACCACTTCAAGAGAGCATTCTATGATCGTCAGATCCGTCAAGAAAGATTCCTGGATATCATCAGTCGAGATACAAAAGCAATTAGAACTGCCTGTATCGGACCAAACAATCAGACGACGTGCTGTTGAAGCCGGATTGTTTTCTCGACGCCCTGCAAAAGAAACCGCCGACTTCACTAAAGAACCAGAAAAATTATTCCTGTTTGCTACATCTCATATTGACTGGAATATGCAGAAATGGCGAACTGTCCTGTTCAGTGATGAATTGAAGTTCAACATCATTGGGAGCGATGGCATTTGCCGTGTACGTCGACAGGCCGGAAAACGCCTCGATTTACGTTACTGCCATAAGACCGTGAAGCATGGTGGAGGCAATGTAATAGTCTGGGGGTATTTTTCTTCTAACGGTCTAGGTCCAATACATCGAATCGATGGAATAATGGACCTTTTCATGTATAAAAATATCCTGAAAGATGTTATGTTATCTCATGCTGAATGGAATATGCCAAAAAAATGGGTTTTTCAGCAAGACAACAATCCGAAACACACTGCAAAAGTAGTCAAGCAGTGGTTTCAAGACAACCACCTATCGGTGATGGATTGGCCGCCTCAATCTCCGGATCTCAACCATATCGAGAACCTGTGGGAGATCGTTAACCGCAGAATTAATTGTGAAGGTGTTCGTAATAAGGATCAACTGTTTGAACAAATCTAAAAGGCATGGGCAGCGACTCCACAAAGTTTCATTGATCACTTGATTGAATATATGGTTCAAAGATGCAAGGCTGTGATCGACAACAAAAGATTCGCCACGAAATATTGATAGCAAAATACAGCTTTGCACTTTGGAGTTGCACTTGTTTTGTGCAGAAGGAAATCAACTTTTTTTAATACTTTTGATTAATTTATTAATTTTCGTGTACAAATAATGAACTTTGTGATGAATAAAACTTGAAGAACGTTGTCTCTAAACAGTTACATAGTTATTTCTTTAAATTAAAAAAATGCAGCACTTCTATATAAAGAAACTAAATTAGCATTGTTTGGTTGCACTTGTTTTGTCCGATACTGTATATATATATATATATATATATATATATATATATATATATATATATATATATATATATATATATATATATATATATATATATATATATATATATATATATATATATATATATAACAAATATAACACTATGATACTGCAAAATGTAAAAAAATTCTGGAATTGTGGAATGCAAAATTTAGAGAATTTTTTATAAAGTGTAGGGTAAAGGAAGGTATGTTCGTGATATATGTAATTTCGTGATATTTCTTTCGGCATTTGTAGCGAACATACCTATTAGTCAAAAACATCGAAATTGCGTCAAATGGTACCCGGGGTACTACTGTCGATTCAAAAATAGTCGTTGGGTGCGTGTGATACGTCAATTGTTTACTATCAGTTTGTACATTCTTTAGCATTATTTTACGTGCGTTCAGCACATTTGTTTGGAGTACTTGTCCAACATTTTTATTTCCAGACTTGTGTTTTAAGGTAAGTAAATTATTTTTATTAAATATTAAACTAGAAAACATGCTTGATTTAATGGTAAAACTTTTGTTTTTTTATTAACTTCCTATAACTTATGATTCCTTATCGCAGTTACACATTTTCTTAACGTTTTCACCTCAAATGAATTTACATTTTTAATCATGTTTCTTTTATTAAATATAATGACATTAAAAATTGTTTTAAGTAATCTTACACATAGAGTTCCTGAAAATCTTGCTGCTTATAGGGCATCGATGGCTAACAGTCATATGATCAGTGATTTTTATTCAAAACTTGATTCATTAATGATCCAATTAGGTATTTAAGATATGCCTGGCCGCCTTTGGAATTGTGATGAAACTGGACTATCTTATGTAGTAAAGCCTAATAAAGTAGTCACTGCTATTGGTAAACGTTATGTTTATAAAAGAACTTATGCTGATCGTGGAGAAACGCATACACTTTTAGGATGTGTATGTGCCAATGGATCATGGATTCCACCTTTAATTATATTCAAAGGCGTTAGATGGAACGATAATCTTAAAGCTGGTTGTTTACCAAACTGTATGGTAAAATTATCTCCAAAAGGATGGATTAATAGTGACTTATTTTTGGAATGGTTTAAATTTTTTATTGATTCTATTCCAAGTGAACGACCTGTGATATTATTCATGGATTCACATGCATCACACATTAACATGGATGTTATATTACTTGCAAAAGAAAATGAAATATATTTATTTACATTTCCAGCTCATACTAGTCATTTATTACAATCACTAGATGTAGGAATATACAAGCCACTTAAGTCAAACTGGGCCACTAGCTTAAATGACTTTATGAGGGAAAATCCTGGAGAAAAACCAAATCGGACAACTTTTCATACAACATTGAATCCAGCATTTATTAAAAGCTTTTCTAAAAAAAATATAGAAAATGCTTTTAAAAAAAGTGGCATTTGCCCTTTAAATAAAAATGCCATTCTTCCAGAAGCAATAGCTCCACCTCAATTGACAAACAGAGAGATTCAAAGTACAGAAATTCAACCACACAGTAATACTGCTATACAAGCTACCTATGTTAAAAGTATATTTTTTTTATATATAAATATAAAGTAATGAAAGTATTATTATAATTTTGTTAACTTATAAGCCTGACTATATTTATATTTAATGAACTTAAAGTCTGATTGAATAGTTATGAATTCAAAACAAGTGTTGATATTTTTTGTTATATTATACCAGATGTTATACTTAATTAATAAAAAAAAATTTAAATATTATTGTGTACTCACGAAATTACCTAACCACTATCACGAAATTAAATATCATATCACAAAATTACCTAACTTTTCTCAATGACTTTTGAGCTTTTATAAAAACTTATCAAAGGACTTAAAACCCCAAAACTGCATAGATTCTAGTAACTTTACTCTATGTACATCAAACAATTAAAGTAATTAAGTAAAATTACTGAAGTTGACTTTGTAATTACACATCTAGTTAATTTATCACGAACATACCTTCCTTTACCCTATCAACTGAACCAAACAAGTTTTAACAAAAAAAATATCATTTTGGGCAATGATTCCATTAAGATTGACAGCAGGTTAAAATAGTTTATATACTTTTTTTTTTTTTTTTTTGTAGAGAAACCATGTGATTTAAGTAAAGTGAGACAAGTGCAGGTGAAGTGGAACAAGCGAGTAACTAACAACATGTTGACAAAAAATATTATTTAAAAACAAAGTTTTTTTAAGCAACCACTATTTGAGTTGGAAAGCTACTAGCAGAAAAAAGATGAAGTTAAATAACGATTAACAGACAACTTAAAAGATTGCAAATTATATGAATCAGGAAAACGAGATGAAGGGAGCGAATTATAAAGAGTTGATGTTCAAGGAAAAAAACTAGACGAATATAAATTTTTTGATCATCTAAGAACAATCACAGAAAAAGGATGACTTAATTGAATGACAAGTAACATAAAAAAGAATTTTAATAGATGGCCAAAGAGACACTAGTTCTTTAGAACAGTGCCCATTATAGTATTGATAAAATGGCTGCCAGAGAAAGTCTAACCATATCCACAATGCGTTCTTACACACTGTTTAAAAGAGAAAGGACATTATTCAAAGATCTGCCCCAGATATGGCAACAGTATTACATACAAGGACAGATTTAAAGTTTATATAGGTAAAGAATAGAATCCTGAGTAAAAAAGTGGCGAGCATGATAATGAGATGCAACCTTAGCAGATACTAATTTTGCAATAGATTTAAGAAAGACTGGAAGTAAGATTCTAGAAGACGAAGTTCTTCTTAACCCTAGTAGATGAAAGGTAGATGACTCATCGAGAACATTGCCATTCATAAATATAGGAAGATCTAGATTGTTGTAACTCAGGTTTTACCTGAGTTAAAGTTTACCCGTCACTGAAAGCCCTACGCTGTAGCAGAAGTGAGATCCTTTTCAAGCTCAAATGCCTCGTCCAAGCAATTAAAGAGTGTTGGCATCTTATCAAGACAAGAATAAATGTTAGTATCATTAGCAAACCATACTACATTAGATGTGAAAATTTCTGGAAGTTTGTAAATGAAGATTTAAAAAGTAAAGGGCCAATTATAGACTCTTGAAGGAACCGCAAAACTTACAGAAAATGAAAAAGAGTGCTGTCATCTAGATTAACTTTTATATTACGTTTGGTAAGGAAGGATTCAATAATCTTAGAGATGTTATCTGATACACCGTAGAAGATAGTTTATGGGAAAGACCAGCATGCCAAACTTTATCAAAGGCTTTAGAAATGTCAAGAGCAACAGCCTAAAACTCTCCAAATCTATCTAATGCACGATAAAATCAATCAGTTATTACCGTTAACAAATCAGCAGTTGAACGACAAGATTGAAACCCATATTGATGATGAGAAAGTTATTTATTAGATTCAAGATAAAAGATTAAATGTTTATTAATTAAAGACTCAAAAACCTTGCTTTTAATGGAAAGAAAACTAATGGGACGGTATTTAGACGAGTCAGTTTGCTCTACAGAATTTTTGAAAATTAGGATAACAGATGCCGCTTTCCAGCAGGCTGGAAAACAAGACTCTAATAACCACTTATTAAATAGTTTTGAAAATATAGAAGACAGCTCCAGAAATATTTCTGAAGCTGTCTTCTACATTTTTGTTTGTTGTCCAGAAAACAAACCTGCAAGGCTGCAGATATGTTGTCCGGACCACAAACTGTAGAAGCGTCTAAGCAGAAAATTACTTTAGATACCGAAGCGGGAGTGATAAAAAATGTTGAGCAATCGATCAACCTGTTTGTCGGCTACATCAGTTAGGATGTGATTGGTGAAATCAAGAAATGAGATTGATGAAAAGTTTATAGCAAACAATTCAGCTTTGTTTTTAGGTGAGGTATCAATATCTGAACCATGCAAGAGAGGTGGAATAAAGATTCTCCGGAAGTCTCTGGATCCTAATTTATAAAATGATATACGATGTTTTGTGACCTGAGAATAGCGGGCTTTGACATTAAACAAAACCTTTTTACAATAGTTTTTAGAAATAATAAACAGATGTCTATTTTTTAGAGAATTGTTTTGGCAATAGATATAGGTGTAATGGTTACAATTGGAAATTACACCACACAATGAGAGGAAAACCATGGAAAAAATTCGGGCTTGACTTGGAGAGGGAGAATAAAAGATGTCATACCAAGTTAAATCCAAGAAGTTGATTAAGAAGCACATTCGTCAACAGGACGAGAAAAGATTTCTATCAAGGGTCATCACGAAGAAAATCACGGAATGAGTAATTGTAAAGAAAAGTTGTAAAGAAAGGTAGTTGTAAGAGGTACAATAATAAGGTGTTTTGATGATGAAGAAGAATGATATAATAGTTTAAACCATGTGATATAATAGATTAAACCATGTGATCAGAAGTATTAAAATGTGAATGTGGAAAAAATGAGCACTGACTGGGATCAAAAACAAGGAGAGAATAAAACGAGTAGAGAAGGTAAATGATTTGGATTGCATGGAAAGCAAGATGGAAAATTGACTATTTGTGTTAGGGATTTAAAAGGCCAAAAGTTGTGAGCCTTAACACCTGTAGAGTCACTGACACTAGAACTAAGTTATTCAGTGTGATGAGCATTAAAGTTACCAAAAACAACAATATTGGTTTGATCATAAAAAAATATAGAAAAGAGAGCAGTCTTGAAATGAAGTAGAGCGATATAGAACAAAGAGAAAGGTGAAAGAGTGAAGTGGTGTTAAACGAAAACACAAAAAAGAACTGTCTATTGATTCAAATCTAGTTTTCCTAGAAATGGGTGAATTCTTACGAATGCAAATACCCAGGCTAAATATGTAACTATTGGAGTCTTAATAGATTAAAGGAGGATAACCATCATCACTAAGATCACAAGTTGAGTCAACTGAATTGAAAATAGTTCCACAAAGAGAAAGTTGGTCTAGTGAACTTTGTAAGAGATAAGACTCAACAGAAAAGAAGTTACTTTGAAGACCACGAATATTAGTGAATGATAGATTTAGAAAAGTTGGTTATGACAATGATTTTTTGTGTTTTAAAGTTTGTGATACTTTAGTCATTTTTTAAATTGGGTAAAAAACTCAACTCGCTAGTTCGCACTGTTAGTACTTTAATATTTTACACCTGTTGATGGAATTAGCTTCTCTGATAGCTACCATAGGGTTCGGGAAACTTGATTACCTGTCAAACTCATTATCATAAAACTGAGATTAAGAGCTGTACCCTCATTAAAGATAATATAATGAGTTGCCTAGTCATAAAAACAGAGACACAAGCAAAACCGATACAATGGTTCAAGGGAGATCCAGCATTCAACATCCTAAACTAAAAACAATGTATTATAAATACATTTACGCCAGCCTAATAGATAAAGAATATTAAAACTATTAAAGTCCTAAGCCACGTAATTTTCATCAAAATACTCTAAAGGTTTTCACAACATAATTGCACAGAATTGATGGGGGAGCGATCGGACATCAATTAATTTATTTTGTTCAGTTTATGTTTGCTAAACAGAGAGGAAAATACTTTTTCAGTAGATAATTGTGATTCGGGACCTCTAATTAAATTTTTGGGTTTATCTACTTCTTCTGTGTGCATTCTTCCCTATAGTTACTGCGGAAAATCATACAATAATGGGAGGTGATTACGCACGTGCTGAATAATATAACAACACTTTACGCAACGAGTTTATATGAAGTTTTTGAATTTCATATTTTTTTGTAAATAAATTGTTGCTTTTCAACAGAATTCTCAATTTAACTAAAAAGAATGATAATTTCAATTGACACCCAATGAAAATTTGCAGTTATTGCCACATTGCCAAAAGTCTGTTTTTTGACCTTTATTTATTGCATTGTATTGTTGTATAGTATTATTTATTAATAACTAACCCATTGCCCAGCTTGACCTGAGACGCACTCAGTCTTAAATTAAATTACAAATTAAATTAAGGATAAAAAATTAAAAATACAAATAACTTTGTTCTGAGTATCTGTATAATACAGATACTCAAAACAAAGTTATTTGTATACATAGTATAAATTATATGCAGTGTATCGTACTTATTATAAGTACGATACATTGCATATAATTTATACTATGTATACAAATAACTTTGTTTTGAGTATCTGTATTATACAGATACTATAAGTCTTATATAGCAAACCTTTTGTTTAAATATAATTATAATACTTTTATAATTATATTTAAACAAAAGGTTTAAATTAACGTTTATATTTGATATTATGTTTATTTTAAATAAATATATGCAATTAAGTTTCTCTTAAAGAAGGTTTACAAATTTATTTATTATTTTTTTTACTAATAAAAAATTTCTAGCCTTTTATATCAGGTTTATTTTATATCAGGTGTACTTTGATTGTATATGTTTATTACAAAATAACTTTTTTGTGTTTTTTGTATTAATTTTTATCTTCGATTGTGTAGATATTTATTTATCTTTTTAGAAGTATTTAGTGTACAATCTGTAATAAAATGAGAGAGCAAAAAACAATGAATTTGGCAGAAGTTGAATTCCTTGCAGAACATTCCATGGTTTCAGTTCTTCCTAACTTTAAAGAAAATAAATTTAATATTTTAACAGTATGTTTAATAGTTTTTTAGTTTTATTTCAAAAAAACATTTCAAAATTCTATAAGTTGATTACATCTTATTTTGTTATATTTGTTTAAATTGATTATTATTTTTATTAATCACCTTAATAATTAATTCTTGTTAAGTATTGTCTTGAAGATAATTTTTAAGAAAAGTGAAACTCTTAAATTAAATTTAAGTATTTATTTAATTTAAATCAGTAACAAAATGCCTTTATACACAAACACACATGTGTGTTTGTGTATAAGTAGATGCATGTATGCACTTGCATCTACCTACACTTGTGCCAGTGTGTACGGGCAAACATATTAGTGAAACAAAAAAGATTTTTCAACCAAAAGTATATGTTTCAAATTTCATAGTTCATCATCAGTTTAAAATAGCAATTATAAAACTTTAGTTTTGTATATATTTGTAAAGGATTTATTACACTGAAACTGAAATTTTCTGTTAACAAAAGTTAAATTAGTAACATTGGTATTTAGAATTTTTTTTTTTAGCTTTGTTTTGAACAGATTATACAGCTTTATTTACTTTTATTTTTTTTTTAAAAGTAAATTAAAAAAATTTATTAATTTTATATTTTAAAAAAAATCTAATATTTTATATTTTTCAGTTAGTTTGTGTCATAAAAAATGTTGGCAGTCTTTGCCCTTTGGTTATTGTTTGGTAAAACTTGAATGGTTGAAATAGCAATTTACACAACTGTAAAAAAAAAGCTTATTATTTTCTGTAATTTGCTTTAAAGCTAATCTTTTTTTTGTTTATCTTGAATTAAACCAATCAAAATAGTATGACAGAAGCTATTATGACCAACTTTTCAACTGCAATCTGATCATTTTAGAATCAAAATTAGCTATATAAAATTTTTTAGGATAAATTACTTACTATTAGTAAGTAATAACTTACTATTAGTAAGTAATATATACTTAAACAACTTTTTTGACTGGTTTTATCTGTGAAACTTCATAAATAAGGCTTCAGTTCTAATTTTTGCTCTAACTTAGGCATTGGTAATAAAATTGCACTTGTAATATGTATCACAGAATGTATATATCATCTGATATACATCATAAAGACATTTTGTATGTTTTACACATCATAGAACACACGAAATGTCTTAATGATGCTTGGTTTGTGCATCTTTTCCTACTGTAATAAATACTTTACTAGTAAGGATAACCCATGTCAATATAGCCACCAAGTCATACTGTATGTACTGTATGTGTATTTTTAAAAAGTGTTCATGCAAACTTAAAATTAAAAAATATTTAATAAACTAGTTTAATTTTTAAGTTTCTTTGTACTTTAACTAATAACATAACATAAATAGCATTTTTTTAACTTGTATCTATTTTAAAAACCTAAACATACATGCTTTAAACTGAAAAATCAGTAAAATTTGTTGACAGTTTTAATGTTTTTTAAACCACTCTCTCTCTCTCTCTCTCTCTCTCTCTCTCTCTATATATATATATATATATTATATATATATATATATATATATATATATATATATATATATATATATATATATATATATATATATATATATATATATATATATATATAGATAAAGATATAGATATATATATAGATATATATATAGATAAAGATATAGATATATAAATATATAGCTATAGATATAGATATATAGATATAGATAGATAGATATATAGATATATAGATATCGATATAGATATAGATATAGGTATATAGATAAAGATATAGATATATAGATATATAGCTATAGATATAGATATATAGATATAGATAGATAGATATATAGGCCTTGGCAAAAATAATTATATACAAGGGCCAAGAAAAGCTCTCCTAAAATGAACATGGCAAGCTGTTCGAGCTGCTCCTCTAACAGGCTTCTTACCAGAGTTTTTGGTTTTTGTTCAAGCTAGCTGTTTATTCATCCAAAAAAAATTGCTTATTAAATACAAAGTTTTGGTTATATACTTGTCACAAGTGGCTTGTAACAAGTATGCTTGTAACAATTATGCAATTAAATTTATGCTTGAAGCATACGTTTGTTACGTTAATATTACAAGAATATAACAAGTGTTTTTTATTGCAGCATGAAAAAATTCTTTAGACGAGCTTTGTTTGTATTGCTCATAAAAATAAGTTTTATATTTTCCTATTGTAATAGAATGCAGTCATTTTAAGAAATATTACAATTAAAGAGTCTACAATAAAAGTGAATAATATATTAAAGTAATTAAAATATAAAAGATATTCATTACATAAAGTAAAAATTATTATGCAATAATTTAATGTAATAATTTTATTTTTTATAAGTTAAATAATTTTTTATTTTAGCACTGTAATTAGGAGTGTAAATTTTTGTATTTATCAGTTAGTCCAATATACACTCAGCGAAATTTCCATAGTTCCATTTAGTTATTCTGATTTTAGGCAGAAGTTTTTAAGTTGTTAGAAGTTAACCACAAAAATTATATTTATTATACCTATTGCAATTAAATATGTTCATGACAATTTTATGTTTTTTTGAATCACTTGAAACTAAATTTTCTAGAATATTTTCAAAATCCAGTATAGATACACGCAAAATTTCCATAGTTCCATCAGTTTGTTTTGAACACTTAATAAGAGTTGATTGAAGCTTGAGTAAGATTTTGATTTGTTTGTTCTATATGGAAGTTTTGGGTAGTTTTATCTAATATTTGTCATTTAATTATTACTATGCCATGCAGAAGGGAGAAGGGTGTTCAATGAGGAAAAAAAGCAAATATTATTGCTTATAAAGATATATATATCTTTATAAGACAAACATATATGTTTGTCCAATCGACAAATTGCAAAGAAAATCAAAAAGCTTCATCATGTAGTGAATAGTTTTATAAACTTAGGTGAGAATTACAACAAAAATCACCCTAAGGGCAGAAATAAAAAAATAACCAGAAGGCATTTTTCCATTATGCATTTGAGTACGAATAGCAACACAAATAAGGACTGAACTGGAATTACCTGTGACCACAAGACGTGTCAAGCAAATTGTCAAAATAAAAACTGTTCCAGTGGAAAAAAATGCTCTCAAAACCACCATTGACTAAAAAAAAATTGCAAGATTTGAGTTTACCAAGAACCACATGATATGGGGGCGCAGAATAGAAAATGTTATTTTTTCCGATGTAAAAAAGTTTAACTTAGATGGAGCTGATCAATTTAAGCATTATTGGCTTGATTTGGAAAAAAAAAGATGATGCTGCAATTAACACAGCACTAAGTGTAAAACAGTGGTTCCAAGAAAAAAATATAAATGTTTAGGATCGGCCATCCATTCGCCTGACTTGAACCCTATTGAAAATATATGGGAAATGAACTATATATTGAAGTTCTCGACAGTATAATTTGATGCAAGAACTTAAAACTTCTATCTGACAAGCATGATATGATATTTCAAAGGTTTGTTTCGAAAATCTTATACAAAATATTTAAAACTGAATTTTATAATTAATTAGTGTAAAAGGTTGTAGTAAACATTAAAAATTACAGTGATTGAAAAATTATTAAAACAAAAATTATGAAGGTTTACTTTTGATGAAACTAAAGAAATTTTGCATGTTTTTTCGAAATATTTCTAACTTTTTGTTTTTTATGAATTAAATTATTAATTATTTTTTATCAAAATATTATTTGCATATTTATTTATTCCTAATTATTTCTGTAAAAAACAAAGAAAAATGCAAATACTTCAAGAATTCATTTATATGTACAAATTGTTAGTGGAACTACAGAAATTTTGTTGAGTGTAATCAAAAACATTTACATTTAAATCGGTGCTCTTTTTTAATTTTTTTTTTTTTTGCAACAACCATGCCTTTTAAAAAGCATTACAGTTTATTATGAAATTTGTTTATTTTTATTTTTAAAAATGACTGCTTTTTCATTTTAATTACAATGATAATTATACTTTTTAGAGAAAAAATTATTTTTTTTCGAAAGCCATAAATTGCTCCCATAAACCTTTTGTAGGGGAGTGTAGGGGAGGGCAAATTATTGCTGACCTCATTTTTCCTAAATCCGAGGGTTGTATATATATATATATATATATATATATATATATATATATATATATATATATATATATATATATACATATATATATATATATATATATATATATATATATATATATATATATATATAAATATATATATATATATATATATATATATATATATATATATATATATATACATATATATACATACATACATACATACATATATACATACATACATATACATACTAGGAACATATATACATGGGGCCCCATTCCTAGCTAAAAATTAGACTTTTTGAAAGCGCAGCTCCAGCAAAATTATAAAATTTAGCAAGGGTTAATAGCTGAGGATAGAAAAATTTGTAATACTTAATATATTATAGTTTTAAATATACATTTACTATTTATTAAATACTAAGTTATATTTATGTATTTTTATACTCTAATTTACTTCTAACAAGATTGCAATCAACCACTATTAAGCTAAGAATTACTTTAAAATATAGAATAAGTTAAAATAAAGGAAATGGTTAACTGAAGACTTACAAAGTTGTAGGTTATACAAAAAAGGAAAATATGAAAATGGGTAAGAGTTCTAAGGTTTGACAAAAGGTTTAAAATTCTTTTGACTTCCTAAATAATTATTTATTATTTGATCGCATCTGATTGTGTTTTTTTTTTCGCCTAGTTCTTAATGATCTTGTTTTAAAGAATAAGTTTATCTTTTATGTATTTTCTCTGTTGTTGTCTTCATCATTAACTTAATACTACAGTCAATTTTTTTTTATTATTACATCGAATTTATTTGAAAGAAGTTCTTAACCCTTTATTTTTTACATTGTTTCATTTGTTTAATTAAAATATAAATTCGTAATGTTTTCGCATCATTAAAACATTAAAACAATTAAATAACGATTTCTTTTTGTTAAAACATATTTAATGTTTTTAT